GAGAGGGCGTCGCGTTTAAAGCCCCAAAGTTTGCGAACGACCAATCAGTCGCAAACTTAATTAACATCGGTCGCAATTTTTAATTATCCGACGTCGTTTTACTACGCGATAAAATTGCAAACGATTTGCGACTCAATACATCGGTCGCAATTTTGTCGCCAGTCGGTCTCAGCAATTATTCCTATTTTTGAAGCGCGCAGTTTTGTGACAGAAAAACATTTAGTCGCAAATCGGTCGTAAATCCGTATTACACGGGTCGCAAACTGATAACCAAACTCGCGGGAATTTTCAGCGCTAAAATATGCGACTGTTTGCGTATACATCGCAAATCGGTCGCAAAATTGTGACCGATTGAAGTCGGTCGCAAAAATCGGTCCCAATTTAGCATTTTTTTGTAGTGATAGTTGGGATACTCTTGTGGTATCATTGAGTAACTCAGCTCCAAATGGTGTGATAACAATGTCTATGGTAAAGAATATACTACTCAATGAAGAACTACGAAGAAGAGATGTTGCCAATACCAGTACACAAGCCCTTGTCACAGAGAATAGGGGCCGGAGCAAGAGTAGAGGTCGACCGGGAGCAAAGAGTAGAGGTCGGGGCCGGAGCAAGAGTAGAGGTCGAGGGCATGTAAAGTCAGGTGGTAGATCCAAGTCCAGAGAGATGAGAAAATGTTACAATTGTGGTAAGGAGAGTCATCTCAAAAGAAATTATCATTTACTCAAACAGGAGCATGTAAACCGAAGACAGGAGAATGACAGAAATACATCTGCTACAGTCTCAGCATAAGATAATGAGGTGACTTTAGTCACTCATGATGCAGATTGCTGTCATGTTAGAGATGCAGATACCGAGTGGATAGTAGACTCCGATGCCTCATACCACTGTGTTCCAAAAAGGGAATACTTTTCCACTTATAAAGCGGGAGATTTTGGCACTATTAGAATGAGAAATAATAGTGTCTCGCAAATGGTGGAAATCGGTGATGTCTGCATAAAGACAAGTGTTGGGTGCACATTAACTTAAAAATGTGAGACATAATTCCCGATCTTCGGTTGAACCTGTTGTCTGTCAGTGTACTGGAACAAGGAAGGCCTATCACCTATATTATAGGTGACGGTAATTGGAAACTCACCAAAGGGTCTTTGGTCGGGTGGCGAAAAAGGAAAAATTTTATGTTGCTCGTTGTATAATACGCATGCAAATAATATGTGTGGGTTCCAACTGAATACAGTTTTTAGATGATGCTTCACCAAAATTTGTGGCAATAGGTGGGCTGGCGCACGTTAGTGAGAAAGGGTTTGAATATGTTGGCTAAGAAGGTCCCCTCATACCATTAAGAAGTCCCTCATACCATTAGCCAAAGGTAAAATAAACCCTTGTGATCATTGTTTATTTGGGAAGCAACATCGTGTCTCATTTTTTAAAAGCTCTAGACGAAGAGACAACAAGTTGAGTTGGTCCACTCTGACGTATGTGGTCCCATGGAGGTAGAATCACTTAGAGGAAGTAGATATTTTCTAACCTTCATTGATGATTTCTCACGAAAAACATGATTTCTCACGAAAAACATGGATATATTTGTTGCGCACCAAGGACCAAGTATTCAAGCACTTTCAGTAATTCCATGCGATGGTGGAAAGAGAGACTGGGGTGGCATTGAAGTGTTTGCGCACGGATAATGGTAGTGAACACATCTCTAAAGAGTTTAGAGATTACTGTAGTCAGCACGGTATCAGGCATGAAAAGACAGTTCCTGGTACACCTCAACATAACGGCATTGCTGAACGGATGAATCGCACCATTATCGAAAGAGTAAGATCCATGCTTAAAATGGCCAATTTACCTAAGCCATTTTGGGGAGAAGCTGTCAACACTGCTGTCTACCTAATCAACCGACTACCTTCAGCACCTTTGGATTTTGATATCCACCTTTGGATTTTGATATCCGGGGAGAAGGTCTGGACAGGTAGAAATATTTCATACTCTCACCTGAGGATATTTGGCTGCAAGGCATTTATGCATATTCCAAAGGAGCAGAGATCAAAGCTCGATGACAAGTCAGTTCCTTGCACTTTTGTCGGTTATGGAGACGAAGAGTTTGGCTACAGAATGTGGGACCCAGTGAAAAAGAAAGTTGTCCAGAGCCGAGACGTAGGGAGAATGAGATCGTGGCAGATACAACTTGTGAAGAATCCATAATCGTGGCAGATACAACTTGTGAAGAATCCATAAGTGATGGTGTTATTAATATTACACCAGGAAGCATTCCTACAGATGATGTCACGAGAGGAGGAATGCTAGAATCAGAACGGGAAGAAGAAGAAGAGCCAGTCGTAGGGGATCAAGAGACAATTGTAGATGATAATAGTGATGCAGAGAATGTTGTGCAAGGGGAGCCAGGGAACCCTGTTCCCAGAAAGAGTTGAACCTCAGTTAAGAAGGTCAACCAGAGAACGCCAACCATCTACAAGGTACCCTAGTTCTAATTACATTTTGATTACTGATGAGGGGATGCCAGAGAGCTTTCAAGATGTACAATCTTGTAAAGACAAAGATTGATGGACAAAGGCCATGCAAGAGGAGATGCATTCTTTGAAAAAGAATGATACATATGAGCTGGTGAAACTTCCAAAAGGGAAGAGAACACGCAAGAACAAATGGGCATACAAACTAAAGAAAGATGATGGCAACCTAGTGAGATACAAAGCTCAATTGGTCGTTAAAGGCTTTACTCAAAATAAAGGTATTGACTTTGATGAGATTTTTTCACCAGTTGTGAAAATGAGTTCTATTCGAGTTGTACTAGGTCTAGTAGCCAGTTGTACTAGGTCTAGTAGCCAATTTTGAATCTTGAGGTTGGAGCAGCTTGATGCTAAAGACCGCATTCTTGCATGGGATCTAGAGAAGAAATCTATTTATTGAACAACAGAAGGTTTCAAGGAACCAGAAGGTTTCAAGGTAAAGGGAAAAGAGGACATGGTTTGTCGCTTGAAGAAGAGCTTGTACGGGTTGAAACAAGCACAGCGACAATGGTATAAAAAGTTTGATTCTTTTATAGTGAATCAAGGATACAAAAGGACAGTTGCAGATCTTTATGTATATGTCCAAAAATTCCCTGATGGTAAATTTATCATCCTTCTCTTATATGTTGATAATATGCTAATCGTTGGACCAGATGAACATATGATTAGCAAGTTAAAAAGTGATTTGTCAAAAGCATTTGACATGTAGGATTTGGGATCGACAAGGCAAATTCTTGGAATGGAAATTATCCGAGACAGAAAATCCTGCAGGTTATGGTTATTGCAGGAAAAATATATTGAACAAGTTCTAGAGAGGTTCAATATGAAGAATGCTAAACCAGTTAGCACTCTGCTTGCCGCTCACTTCAAGTTGAGTAAGAGTTGAAGTAGAAATCCCACCCATTAACAGAGAAAGAAAAATGGATATGTCCAATGTTCCATATTCCTTTAGCGGTCGGGAAGTTTTGATATACATTAATGCGTGGACGAGGACCAGATATCTCTCATGCAGTGGCGTTGTGAAGCCGATTTGCGCTCATGCAGTTGGCGTTGTGAGCCGATTTCTGTCAAACCCCCAGCAGACACATTGGGAAGTAGTGAAGTGGATCTTCAGATACTTGAGAGGAACTTCAAAGTTATGTTTCACTTTTGGAGGTGAAAAGACTGCACTTGTTGGCTATACAGATGCAGATATGGTCGGTGATCTTGATGTAGATTTTCTTTCATCAAGATTCCTATTTACATTCTCAGGGGGAGCTATTTTATGGCAATCAAGATTACAAAAATGTGTTTCATTATCAACGACTGAAGCAGAGTACGTTACAGCAACATAAGCAGAAAAGGAAATGCTTTGGTTAAAGCGATTGTTTCAAGAATTGGGTGTGCAGCAGGGAGAATATATAGTTTATTGTGATAGTCAAAGTGCGTTAGACTTGAGCAAAAATACTATGTATCATGCACGGACGAAGCACATTGATGTAAGATATCATCATGGCTTTAGACTTTGCCATTGAAGGAGAAAACAGTCTCTAGTGCGGAAAAATCCACACAGACAGAAAATGCTGATAGAATATATGACAAAAAGGTTCATTCGAAGGAAAAGTTCGAACTATATGTCAAAGCGGCAGGAATTGGAGAAGTCCCACCACTGTAGTCGGGCAAGAGGGGAAGAATTGTTGTGGGGTCCCGGCCTACATTTTGTGGACCCACCACACCATTTTGAAAATGAAAAAAAAGAGAACACAAGTGGTGTGGTTGGGTCCTCCAACATTGTGGGATCCACACAAGTTTGAAGAAAGGAAAAAAAAAGGAAAAACATTGTTTTTTTTTTTTTTTTTCAGTCAAAGAAGGCTTACAGAAGGAAAGAAAAGAAAGAAAAAAAAAAAGAAGGAAAAAATGGACGCGTGATTAACGCTATCCATTCAGTGGACGCGTTTAATGACGCGTTCCCTTCTCTATAAATAGTAGAAGGGTTTTTTCACTAAAACAATGTACAAAAACAAAAGATTAGAAAATACACAATTAAGTGTAAAGAATTTTAGGAAAGGGTTCCTAAAATTGGAAAAGAGAAGAAAATAGTTGAGGATTATATTTTTTTTGGGGGTGTTTTTGGGAGGGAAACACTTAGAAGTACCACTCCTATTTTATAATCTCTTTTTGTACCTACTATTTTTTTTAGTGAAAAGAATATTCGGAGTTTTTGTCCCAGGTGCGACGATAACCTATAAACACTTAGAGTACCACTATTTTTATAATCTCTTTTGTACCTACTATTTTTTAGTGAAAGAATTATTCGGAGTTTTTGTCCCGTGGACGTAACTCATAACAGTTGAAGGGTGAAACCCGTAAATCTCGGTGTCCTTATTTTTATCTGGCATTTACAGTAATTATTTAATTTTTTTTACCATGATTATTATTTCTGATAGATTCGATCGTCAATATTCAATACTTAATTATTAGAGGTCCCACTCGGGATCAATTAGAATCCCAACACAGCTGCCTGTAGATTTCACGAACAAACCCACGTATCTTCTCAGCAAATTCAGGCTCACCATCTGAAATTCGACAAATTGCCAACCGCATCAGCTCTCCAGTTAAATCTGCAAGCTGTACAATTACAATAAGCACCTTCTTGTATGCACACATGCATCTGCACAAGGACAAATACGTACAAAAATACTCGAAATAAAATGAAAAAGGATTTTATCCATGCAATACGGTGTACTTCATTCAGAATACCAATTTGACCATAAAACACGTTTGTGCGTGCGCACTCCATATTGGCTTTTAAAAGCATGAACCTATTATTTACTTTTTGAACCCGAAAAAGATGAATTAGATAAACCGAATTAAGTTAGATCAGCAATACAATAAAGCAATAGTAAAATTAGACAAATTAGGTCTATTAATACTAAAAATTCTAGAAAATTAGATACCTCTCTTTTTCTCTATATATATCTATCTACGCTAGGTTGATGAAGAAAATATCTACCGATTTCACTTAAATTAATCAACTTATGTGCAATTTGATTACCTTCACGTAAAAAATGCAAGATAGTATCCTATCATTCACTGTGTAGGAACCGACGAATCCTATCATTATTGTCTTTTGTAACTTGAAAGTAATTAGAAAGTTGATTAGCATATAAACACATTTAAATTATACTTTTTGAAAAATAATTACTCTGAAAGTGCACTTCTCATAAAGTATTTTTCTTGGAAAATAGGTTGTTTGAAACCAAACAAGGCCTTAGTTTTCACCACCCAACTTTCCTAAGCATCTTAGCATTCTGGAAAATAGTTATTTAAACCGAATTTATATTACATCTTAAATCCTTTTTGTGTGATTTAGCATATAAATGGCAGAATATTTAATTATTTATTCTATCTTTTTTGTGTATCAAAAACTTTTAATGGGAAGTGATACTTGTTGCAAAAGTCGTACTCTACCGTTATATAATGAGATCAAATTAAAATTAAAAATTTCACAACTTGGTCAATTAATTTTATAGTGCTTTTTCAAGTATCTCGAAGATTAAAAATGTTGCTATATGATTATTGATTATTTTCAAGAAATTTTTAATTTTTTTTTACATTGTTTGCTATTTGATGACTTTTAGTGATTAATCAATTTAATCATTTTATAATAATCACCATTTTAATTAGCCTTGCAAAATTACAGAAACCCTAATATTGGCTCATTATCCACTAGCAAATGAATAATTAAACTGGAAAGTTAACAATGATAATTCAATCATTTAGAAAATTTAAATTAAATATTATTTTCTTTTCAAATGAAGACATTATTGTACATATAACAATTGAAAAAGATCCGAAGATGGTACATTCATATTTATAATAATTGACAATGCAACAGAAAATGTAAACAAATATAAGCAAAACAACAGATTCATGGTTACTAATACTACAAGAACAGGAGGCAACACTATGCTTATACTTGGAAAGAGAGTACCCTCAATCATAGTAATAAACCAGGCAACTTTTCTTTAGTGATGTGGTCCAATTTTTCCATCATCTCATTTGTCAGGTAATTTTTGTAATCTCCTGTCACACCCCGCCGGAAAAAAGTGCTATTTTCCTGGCTAGACGGTAATTTTCCGATTTTATTCACCTTTAAATTGCTCAAATTATCAAAACTACACAAATTCAAGATTTCATCAATTACTCCACAATTTTCTTCTTCTTTTGAAAATTGACACTCCAAGAATTCAGATAATTTCTTTAAATGGAATTTAGACTCTTTTTTCAAATCTTCATATTTCAAAAACAAAACCCTTTTAGGATTTTCCAAACTTTGCTTCCAATACCCCAAAACATGATCCCAAAATGGCCCATAAAAGCTCAGACCTCTACAAAACTTATCAAAAGCATCTTCAAGTGAATTTTCGCCTTTCTTATCAAAAGCATCTTCAAGTGAATTTTCGCCTTTGTCTTTAGGCCTTAACCTATTTGTAAAATGATAAAAAGAAATAAAAGTGTCTTTGGTGTTTCTACACAAGTAAATAATCTTACAGCCCAAGTCTTCCACAGATTTTGGAAGAGACAAAAGGGGCAAATGGGTAGAAAACAATCTTGGAGAGGTAAAACTAGAAAAATCAGGAGAATCAGTATCAATACATACCATGTCCAAGAAAGGAAGAAGAACATGAGGATTATTAGTAAGCAAAGGGTGGTTTTCTTTAGGGTTAGGAAACCGAACTCGGTTCATCAAAGCAAAGGTTAGTGCTTTTAACCAAGTTGTGCCTGATGTGCCTGATTTAGAGTGGTAACAAGGAAATAATTCACTTTCTTGAGCTGAAAAATGGTTTTGACAAGCTATAACACCTTTTAATCTCCTAAAGTTTGATGGTACTCAAACCAAATTATTTTATTTTGGCACTTTATTAATCAATGTTCAATTTTGTATAGTAAACTATCAATTTTTTTTATATCAAACTATAAGATAATTTTTCTTCATTTACGAATTTCTTAGGCTTTAATGTGAATATTTGTGTTTAATTAAGAAGAACTAAATAGCGTCTCCAATGTAATATGGATCGCTCTTTTCAATTGCCCAAATCAGAAAAATGAAAAACTTTGAAAATGCTCTCCTGCTAATGTCATTTAAAATTCAATTAAGAAATCCTAATATTGACTCATTACCAGTAGCAAATGAATAATTAAACTGGAAGTTAAACAATGATAGTTTCAATCATTTAGAAAATTTTAATTAAATATTATTTTCTTTTCAAATGAAGATATTTTGTACATAATAATTAACAAAGATCCAAAATTAAATATTATTTTCTTTTCAAATGAAGATATTATTGTACATAATAATTAACAAAGATCCAAAGATGGTACATTCATATTTATAATAATTGACAATGCAACAGAAAATGTGAACAAATATAAGCAAAACAACAGATTCATGGTTACTTATACTTAGAAAGAGAGTACCCTCAATCATAGTAATAAACCAGGCAACTTTTCCTTTGTGATGTGGTCCAATTTTTCCAGCATCTCAGTTGTTAGGTAATTCTTAGAATCTCCCACCTCACCTCGATGGAAAAAGGCGCAATTTTCTTCGCTAGACGGTAATTTTTCAGTCTTATTCACTTCTAAATTGCTTAAATTATCAAAACTACACAAATTTAAGATTTCATCGATTACTCCGCAATTTTCTTTTTCTTTTGAAAATGGACACTCCAAAAATTCAGATAATTTCTTTAAATGGAATTTAGGCTCTTTCTTCAAATCTTCATATTTCAAAAACAAAACCCTTTTAGAATTTTCCAAACTTTGCTTCCAATACCCCAAAACATGATCCCAAAATGGCCCATAAAAACTCACACCTCTACAAAACCGATCAAAAGTATCTTCAAGTGAATTTTCACCTTTTTCTTTAACCCTTAACCTCTTTGTAAAATGATAGAGAGAAACAAAAGCGTCTTTAGGGTTTCTACACAAGTAAACAATCTTACAGTCCAAATCCTCCACAGATTTTGGAGAGACACAGGTGGCAAATGGGTAGAAAACAATCTTGGAGAGGTAAAACTAGAAAAATCAGGAGAATCAGTATCAATAAATGGCGCAACCAAAAAAGGAACAAGAACACAAGGACTATTAGTAAGCAAGGGATGATTTTCTTTAGGGTTAGGAAACTGAATTCGGTTGACCAAAGCAAATGTTAGCGCTTTTAACCAAGTTGTGCCTGATTTAGGAGTAGTAATAAGGAAGATATCGCTTTCTTGAGCTTGAAAATGGTTTTGACAAGTTACAACACCTTTTAGTAGCCTAGTTGAATGCCAAAACCCTTGGTATTGATGGAGATGATTTGCGACCCAACCCTTTTCAGTTGGTAGGGAGACTATGAAGTCTCTAAAATCTTGAGAAAATTCTTTTTATTGCAAGTAAGCAGCAAGAGATTCAAGTGTTTGCATGGTTGTAGTAAATTATGGTCTATAGTTATTATTTTCTTTGTGTTGTTCTTGGTTTGGTTATGTATGTATATACACAGCGGTTCCCATTTGCAATATATATAAAAATTACTATAATATATAATAGTAAATTACAATTTAGTCTTTAAGGTTTGATTATATCACAACTTCCATCTCTCTTGTAATGTTGCTTGAATCGTAGAAATATTGACAATATTTTTTTATCTAAAAAATTAAAATATTATACACACACATAACCTAAGCGATTTTATGGAATTAAAAAAAACCAACAAGCTCTGAACAAATCTAGGTTAGGTTAATAATACAAAATCAGACAAATTTATGTCTCTATGAATATTTAAAATTCATGAAAATTATATTCTAAAGTCCCATTTCTGCATTGTATATTGTAATCCACTCTCAGCTACTTATAGACACACTAGCATCATCAGGTGTATATATATATAATTTTCAAATTAAAGTGCCACTAATTGTTGAATTATTGCATCCTCAAAAAATAAAAAATTGTTGAATGAAGACATAATTGTACATAATAATTAATAAAGATCCAAAGACGGTACATTCGTATTTATAATAATTGACAATGCAGCAGAAAATGTAAACAAATATAAGCAAAACAACAAATTCATGGCTACTAATACTACAAGAAAAAGAGGCAACATTATGCTTATACTTGGAAAGAGAGTACCCTCAGTCATAGTAATAAGCCAGGGCAATTTATATACAGAGTGATAATTAAATAATATTATATTATTATTATTATTATTATTATAAATACCTTCTTTCCTTCGCAAGCAATTTTTATTACATATCAATCTACAAGCAAAACAACCATTGATTAATCTAAATTCGTATTTTAAATGTTTTCCTTGTGTTGTTTTTGGTTTTGGTTATGTGTTTATATACAGAGTGATTCTCATTTGCAATATATATATATAAATTTCTCAATATATAAAGGTAAGTAACTATTTAGTCCCTCAATTTCAATCATATTATAATTTCATCTCTCATATTTGGTAAATAAATAACCCTTTAAAATTTTAGTTTCATTAAACTATTTAGTTTTTCTATTTAAAAAAGTACTTATTCAGAAGTTAAATATCTCGTACTACTTTTGATTACTTGGTTATTCATTTTTAATATACTTTTACTATTTAGTTTCTCACATTTACTATTGTATTACAATCTAGTCCTTCACTTAATGGTACAAATAGCACTTTTTGGATGAAGAACTATAAATAGTTTAATAGAACTAAACTAGGGATGAAATAATAATTACAATCTTCTCTCTTTCAATTTTAGTTATCCTTTGTTACTTATCAATCCACTCTCAATGAATTATAATCATTCAACTCAATAAGATGTTAACATTGCTTAAAATTTTTTATTTTTAGTTTTTAATTTCATTAAATGCTTCTCAAAAGTCAAAATACATAAAATTTGAAAGTTTTGTAAATTTTGGAAGAGCAAGATGGACCAGGCCAGGCCCAAATTAGGTGGGGCTTCTTGGGATTTAGGCCTCGATTGAGCCTTAGCTGTTACTTAATGGTGAAAATAACACTTTTGGATGAATAATTATAAATAGTTTAATAAAACTAACTTTAAGATTAATTAATATATTTATCAGGGACGTAATAATAATTATGACCAACTATTAGTTATTTATTCTATAAATGTGAAATTCCACCCCACTCATTCTTAGGTATCTATCTCTATTTTGTCAGGACATCTTGCTGATAGTGAGCCAAGCACCTAAGCTTTGCTAATTAATTATTGTGGTCTTATTTAGTAATTTGATAATATTTTTTATCTAAAAAATGATTTTATTCATTAAAAAACAAGATTTGTATGCACACATATAAGCAAGAATAAGTAAAAATTTTTAAGTCATGACCTAAGGGATACTATTAAAATTAAAACGAACTGACTACATCCAAATAAATCGAATTATGTTAGATTTTTTTTTTTTGAATATTAGGAGAGCAGATTCGAACATGAATCTATTGTCAGATCATAAATACACTTACTCTTAAATTATATCTTGATGTACCGAATTAAGTTAGATCAGCAATATAATAAAGCAATAGTAAAATAAGACAAATTATGTCTATTAATACTAAAAATTCTAGAAAATTAGATACCTCTCTTCTTCTAAAAATTCTAGAAAATTAGATACCTCTCTTCTTCTCTATATATATCTATCTATAGTAGCTTGATAAAAAAAATATCTACCAATTTCACTTAAATTAATCAACTTATGTGCAGCTTGATTTCCTTTACGAAAAAAATGCAAGATAGTATCTTATCATTCACTGTGTAGGAACTGATGAATACTATCATTATTGTCTTTTGTAACTTGAAAGTAATTAGAAAGTTGATTAGCATATTAAACACATTAAAATTATACTTTTAAAAAAATAATTTACTTGGAAGTGCACTTCTCATAAAGTATTCTTCTTGGAAAATAGATTGTTTGAAATCAAACAAGGCCTTTGTTTTCACCACCCAACTTTCCTAAGCATCTTAGTATTCTGGAAAATACTTATTTAGACCGGATTTATAATTACATCTTAAATCCTTTTTGTGTGATTTAGCATGTAAATGGAAGAATATTTAATTATTTATTCTATCTTTTTTGTGTATCAAAAACCTTTAATGGAAAGTGATAGTTGTTCCAGAAGTCGTACTATACTGTTATATAATGAGATCAAATTAAAATTAAAAATTTCACAAATTGGTCAATTAATTTTATAGTGCTTTTTTAAGTATCTCGAAGATTAAAAATGTTGCTATATGATTATTAATTATTTTCAAGCAATTTTTTTTTTTTTTTACATTGTTTGCTATTTGATGACTTTTAGTGATTAATCAATTTAATCATTTTATAATAATCACCATGTTAATTAGCCTTGCAAAATTACAGAAACCCTAATATTGGCTTATTATCCACTAGCAAATGAATAATTAAACTATCCACTAGCAAATGAATAATTAAACCTGGAAGGGGGGGGGAGTTAACACCAAATGATAATTCCAATCATTTAGAAAATTTTTAATTAAATTTATTTTTTTCAACTGAAGATATTATTGTACATAAGATAATTAACAAAGATCCAAAGATGGTACATTCGTATTTATATAATTGACAATGGGCAACAGAAATGTAAACAAATATAAGCAAAACAACACAGATTCATGGTTACCTAATCACTTCAAGAACAAGAGGCAACACTAAATGCTTATACTTAGAAAGAGAGTACCGCTCAATCATAGTGATAATACCAGGCCAACTTTTCCTTTAGTGATGTTCCAATTTTTCCATCACTCATTTGTTCAGTAATTCTTTAATCTCACTATCACACCGCCGGAAAAAGACGCTAATTTTCCTGGCCGGCCGGTAATTTCCGATTTTGTTCACCTCTAATTGCTCGAAATTATCAAACTTATCCAATTTAGATTTCATCAATTCTCCGCATATTTCTTCTTTTTTTGGAAAATGGACACTTTAAATTCAGAATAATTCTTTTAAATGTGAATTTAGGGATCTTTCTCAAATCTCATATTTTCAAAAACAAAACCCTTTTAGGATTTCCAAAAACTTTGCTTCCAATAACCCCCAACATGATCCCCAAAATGGGCCCATAAAAACTCAGAACCTCTACAAAACTTAATCAAAAGCATCTTCAAGTGAAATTTTTCACCCTTTGTCTTTAGGCCTTAACCATTTGTTAAAATGATAAAAAGAAATAAAAAAGTGTCCCCTTTGGTGTTTTCCTACCACAAGTAAAACAATCTACAGCCAGTCTTCCACAGATTTTGGAAGAGACGAAAAGCGGCAAAAATGGGTAGAAAAACCAATCTTGGAGAGGTAAAACTAGAAAATCAGAAGAATTCAGTATCAATAACAATACCATGTTCAAGAAGGAAAAGAACATGAGGAATATTAGTAAGCAAAGGGTGGTTTTCTTTAGGATTAGGAAAACGAACTCGGTTCATCAAAGCAAAGGTTAGTGCTTTTAACCAAGTTGTGCCTGATTTAGGAGTGGTAACAAGGAATATATCACTTTCTTGAGCTTGAAAATGGTTTTGACAAGCTATAACACCTTTTAATCTCCTAGTTGATGGATACTTAATCTCCTAGTTGATGGATACCAAAACCCCTGGTATTGAAGGATATCAGTTCCTAGCCAGCCCTTTTCAGTTGGTAGAGAGACTATAAAGTCTCTAAAATCTGGAGAGAGTTCTTCTTCTTGCAAGTAAGCAGGAGGAGATTCAAGTGTTTGCATGGTTGTAGTGAATTATGGACTATAGTAATTGTTTTCTTCGTGTTGTTTTTGGTTTTGGTTATGTATATATATAGCGATTCCCATTTTCAATATATATATAAATTACTATAGTATATAAATGAAAATAACTATTTAGTCCCTCAGTTTCAATCATATTACTATTTCATCTCTCATGTTTGGTAAATAAATAACTCTTTAAAAGTTTAGCTTCATTAAACTATTAGTTTTTCTGTCCAAAAAATACCAGTTTTAGGGGTTAAATATCTTCTACTGATTTTGACAATTTGGTTCTTCATTTTAATATAGTTTTACTATTTAATCTCTCATTTTAATTTATGGTTCTTTACATTTTAATGCATATAATTATATTAATTTATATTTACTCTATTAAGTTTTTAACTTTTGCCCCACTGAATTATTATTTTGCTGTATTGCCTCCACTAATTAGATTTTTTGGATCCGGCCCTGCTCACATTTGCAATATATATAAAAATTACTGTAATATATAATAGTAAATTACAATTTAGTATCTAAGGTTTGATCATATCACAACTTCCATCTCTCTTGTAATGTTGCTTGAATCGTAGAAATATTGATAATATTTTTTTATCTAAAAAATGAAAATATTATATACACACATAACCTAAGCGATTCTATAGAATTAAAACAAACCAACGAGATCCGAACAAATTTAGGTTAGGTTAATAATACAAAATCAGACAAATTTTTGTCTCTATGAATATTTAAAATTCAAGAAAATTATATTCTAAAGTCCCATTAATTTCTGCATTGTATATTGTAATCCACTCTCAGCTAATTATAGACACGCTAGCATCATCAGGTGTATATATATATATATATATATATATATATATAATATATATATATATATTAATTTTTAAATATATATATATATATATATAATTTTTAAATTAAAGAGCCACTAATTGTTGAATTATTGCATCCTCAAAAAATAAAAAATTGTTGAATTATTGCACCTTGTACAATTAATAAATGTTCTGGGGAAAGCATTTGTCTCCTTCCTGTCAATAGAAAAAGGAAAAAGCATCAAGATTTTTTCCCATTTTTTTATGTCCCCAACCAGTTATTATTATAAATTTTCTTCCATTGCTTGGATTTCTCCTTTCCTATATCTATATTTAGACATACATAATAAGTCGTGATTTAGACTCTATTTATTTCTGAAAAATTGCCAGACTTTATTTGTTTCTGAAAAATTGCTTATAAAATATTTTCCAATTAACTGATTTTCTGCAATTTAGTTGTAATATTTCCCTTAAAAAAATTAATTGTAATACTGAAAATTGTTATAAATAGAGATTTTCATAATTCAAATCTTATTTGTTTCTTACATTATAAAATAGAAATAATCATAATTTCATATGGGCAGCAGCGGATGCCTTTGTGCTTGAAGGGGTTGTATGGTTCATCTAAAGTTTCAAGAATTTTAAATTTTTTTTTCAAGTAAATTCATAGATTATATATTATTAATTATTTTCATGTAATTTTTTTTATATTAATTGCTATTTCATCACTTTTAGTGATTAATATGAGTGGCCATAAAATAAAGCATTTTGTCTACAAACTTATAAAATCACTAGCAAACGACCAAGTAAACAATTAGAAAATTTTAATGAAATATTATTTTCTTTTCAAATGAAGACATTATTGTACATAATAATTAACAAAGATCCAAAGATGGTACATTCGTATTTATAATAATTGACAATGCAACAGAAAATGTGAACAAATATAAGCAAAACAACAGATTCATGGCTACTAATACTACAAGAAAAAGAGGCAACATTATGCTTATACTTGGAAAGAGAGTACCCTCAATCATAGTAATAAAGCAGGCAACTTTTCTTTTGTGAGGTGGTCCAATTTTTCCAACATCTCTTTTGTAAGGAAATTCTTGTAATCTCCTATCTCACCCCGCCGGAAAAAGGCACAATTTTCCTCACCAGACGGTAACTTTCCGGTTTTATTCACCTCTAAATTGCTCAAATTATCAAAACTACACAAGTTTAAAATTTGATCGATTACTGTATGATTTTCTTCTTCTTCTGAAAATGGACACTCTAAAAATTCAGATAATTTCTTCAAATGCAATTTAGGCTCTTCTTTGAAATCTTCATATTTCAAAAACAAAACTCTTTTAGGGTTTTCCAAACTTTGCTTCCAATACCCTAAAACATGATCCCAAAATGGCCCATACAAACTCACACCTCTACAAAACTTATCAAAAACTTCTTCGAGTGAATTTTCACCTTTTTCTTTATGCCTTAACCTATTTGTAAAATGATAAAGAGAAACAAAAGTGTCTTTAGGGTTTCTACACAAGTAAACAATCTTACAGCCCAAGTCCTCCACAGATTTTGGAAGAGACACAAATGGCAAATGGGTAGAAAACAATCTTGGAGAGGTAAAACTAGAAAAATCAGGAGAATCAGTATCAATATATGCCATGTCCAAGAAAGGAACAAGAACGTGAGGATTATTAGTAAGCAAAGGGTGGTTTTCTTTAGGGTTAGGAAACCGAACGCGGTTCACCAGAGCAAATGTTAGTGCTTTTAACCAAGTTGTGCCTGATTTAGGAGTGGTAATAAGGAAGATATCATTTTCTTGAGCTTGAAAATGGTTTTGACAAGCTATAACACCTTTTAGTTGCCTAGTTGGATGCCAAAATCCTTGGTATTGATGGAGATGATTGGCGACCCAACCCTTTTCAGTTGGTAGAGAGACTATGAAGTCTCGAAAATCTTGAGACATTTCTTTTTCTTGCAGGTAAGCAGGAAGAGATTCAAGTGTTTGCATGGTTATAATGAATTATGGGCTATAATAATTGTTTTCTTTGTGTTGTTTTTGGTTTTGGTTAGGTATGTATATATAGTCAAATTCGAAAATTTGAATAGTGCACACTGTTGGTGATTTGATAAATATCCTTAATAAAAATTAACAATGTATTAAAATATATTTAAGTATAATTAATTAAAAGATTTGTTATTGTCATCTAAATTTGCATATTATGTGCAATATATATTTAATTAAAATATTTTAAGTGAAATATCTATTTGATTTTGTACAATTGAAAATCTTGCTGATAGTGAACCTAAAAAAAAAAAAAAAAATCTTGATTTTGACTCATTAAATACTTTAATTTATTAAACATTTTAACTTTCAAAATAATTTAACTAAATACTTCAATTTGTATAATCAAATCAATTAAATATCTAATATAGAATTAAAAATGTGAAAATTATTATTCTAAAAATTATGTTAATTACATATCTAAAAGTGCAGGTATATTTTTGAATTATTGCATCATGTACAGTTAATGAATATTTTGAACTGTAAAAGCATTAAGATTTTTCTAATTTGATTATGGCCCCAACCAGTTATTATAGTATTTTTTTTTTCTTTTGATTTCTTACATATCCTTTTCAGTGTATATATAATAGTAATAATACCATAACTAATAACCCATGACCTAATGATGTTTAAATGATGCTAAAATTGTTTGCAAGAGCTATGAGATTATTCATTCAAATCTTAGTTAAATCTAATTTTCAAAAAATAAAATAAAATTATTAAATAAAATTTGGTAATTTTTTAGATATAATTATGTACTTTTTAAAAAATATTAAACAAATGTATGATTTTTTTTTTCTATTGTTCACTTTAAGAGGAAAAGTTCGTTTAGCAAAATTAGCTATTTTGACAGTTGTTAGCTTAGCTATTTTGATACTTGTTAACTGTTTTAGTAGCGTTTCACCTAAATATTACACGAGTTAACTTTTCGCAAAACACTACTCTAATCTTTAAAAATTATTTCAAATGCTATATTACAGAATAGTTTTTTGATCAACACGCTAAAATCTATTCAAAAAATTATTGCCAAAGGGCCGAAGAAAAAGGAGAAATGGAATTAAATAAACCATATTACAAACAAACAAACAGCCACTAAATCCAATAATGAGAAATGCATAATTGAAAATTTTAAAAAAACACATGGCTAATACTCACAGACAACTTATATTGACACTGCTTTCTTGGCTTATTTTAATCTACATGGCATCCCATTTGTACTAAAATAATAATCAAACTTTATTTTAGTCCAAAGATTTAAAAAAAGTTGTTGAATGAAATATATTTTACTAATTTATCAATTTTATCTTTCAGTGATAAAATATCATAGAAATCCACAGAGTTATTTGGATTACCAAATATTATTCAACACCGACAGACAACAAAATCTAATAGTGATAGAAGCAAGCTGCTTTTTCCACAAACGCTGCTATCAAAAGTATATTAAGCAATGAGCTTTAATATATAAAAGAGGCTGCTTCACTTCACTAAAATATAAAAAATAAAAAACCCTATTATACCAAGTTGACCCTAGCTAACCGTGATCATGTCATTAAGCCGGTTCGATCTCCGGTCCGACTTCAAAAACATTGATCAGCACATTGGTGCTCCTTCTAAAGATGTTTAGATTTGCCCCTTTTTTACTATAAGTGAAAGATAGCTAAGTAAATACAGTCATCTTAGATGTCTAAATGAAAGCCTTGCACTAAAAACAGGAAAAGCAAAGGTTCACATTTATACTTACAGTTCAACAAGAGCTTTTCCCTTGAGGAACAGCCAGGCCGAGCGAGGAACTCTACCCAGTTCAGTATGTACATAAGCTAAAATGCCTAATTGTAAATAAACTTCCAGCCCCAGAAGTCAATTCTCACCTGTCTTTATTTCCAAGTCAATTTCATCACACATCGCATATTGAAATGCTATGCTACAACAATTATGAATTAAGAAGGCATCTTTGACATTACCCACTTGAGCCTCATGTCATGTCAAAAACTCTTTGAAAGCTTCGTACCACAAATGCATTTTTACTACAGCTTCTGAAAGACATTGCAGAGAAATACCGTTTCCTTATAAAAAGTTGCCAATTCTATTTTTCAAGCCATGAGCAGATTGTACAAAATGTTGCAAAAACAAACTAGTACTAAATGAGGAAGGCCCGTGACTTTTACAAAGAAGAAGTCCCATGGAAAAATGGATCCCTCCCAAGTGTTGAAACCATTCCCGTCGTGATCATGAATATCTTGTTTTCTAAACGTTTCCAGACGGGAAAAATTTCCCTACAGTGCAAGTAAAAAAGAAAAAAAAAAAAAGATTAACATAAACTTAGTAACTTCGGAGAAAGCGAGAAACAGAAACTTGAGATGAAATTACTTCTTAAGTCAATGTCAGACACACTCCACAAAAAGGAACTTGTATCACTGGATCCAAGTGTTGTGGGTCCCTCCGACATGTGGGACCCATACGCTTTGAAAAATAAAAAAAGAAAAATGAATTTTTTGGAAAAAAAAGAAAAGTTGTAGACGTGATTAACGCATTACACGGTGGACGCGTTATTAATGCGTCCTTTTCTCCTAACGTTTTCTCTCAATAAAACATAACAGAAAGAAGAAAAAAAAAATGTTGTGAGAGAATTATCTAATTTTAGGAAGGGTTTTCTAAAATTAAGAAAGAGAAAAATAGTGAGGAAATTATTATAGGGTATTTTTGAAAAACATTTTGAGTGCCACTATTTTTGTATTACTCTCCTTGTGTACCTACTATTTTTTAATAGCGGAAGAATCATTCGGAATTTATCTCGTAGACGTAGCCCTAAATAGTTGAGGATGAACCGTATAAATTTCTCTGTGTCACAATTTTAATTATTTCGCTGCGTAATTATTCTCGTAATTTTATTGTCGGAGCCCTAACAAGTGGTATTAGAGCTGAGGCAAGTGTTACCTCGGCCCAACACCAACCAGCTGCATATACTCTGATCCTCTTACATGCACACCAAAAAAAGCTGCAGAAAAACCTCAATTAGAAGATCAAGCAAAATAGCTATACTTGTTACTTAAAGCATAAGTGCAGGTTAATATTATATCAAGATTCATATAATTTTCAAAATACATTCTTAAAATATAAGTCCAGATGATTTTCATAATAGTTTCACTTGATTTAAAATGAACTGTATGTGTTAATAAATAAGATACTAAACTTGAGAATTTATACACCAATCAATCCCATGATAAGAATTTGAAATGAAAGGATATTTCAATTTTATATTTCGCTGGCATTATATGAATTTTCCAAAAATCACCTCCATTACAAACTTGTGGATATGCAAATGAACATTCATATAAATTGAATTTCCAAAAACACTGTAATTTGAAGGTGAAACCTAGCACAGAAATATTCCAGTCTACCCAAAATTATTTTCTGTTGCCTGTTGATACTAAATTTGATGAATCTGGAAGCAATACTAATTTCATGATTTAATCATCATTCTATCTATGCCCACCAGCATATTCAATAACCAATCATATTCACAACTTTGGCCAAGGTAAATTTGATTAAATACCGTTCTCTATTTTCAAGATGCTTTGAAGCATTGTCTCCATCTTTGTTTTCATATCAGAACTATCATCCATATGTGGGACAATAAGGTTCAGCTGCCTGTAGATTTCACGAACAAACCCACATATCTTCTCAGCAAATTCAAGCTCACCATCTGAAATTCGACCAATTGCCAACCGCATCAGCTCTCCAGTTAAATCTGCAAGCTGTACAATTACAATAAGCACCTTCTTGTATGCACACATGCATTTGCACAAGGACAAATACGTACAAAAATACTCGAAATAAAATGAAAAAGGACTTTATCCATGCAATACAGTGTACTTCATTCAGAATACCAATTTGACCATAAAACACACTTGTGTGTGCGCACTCCATTTTGGCTTTTAACAGCATGAACCTATTATTTACTTTTTGAACCAAAAAAAATGAATTAGATGACCTTTCAGTATGACAAAGGACTTAAATCTACATAAAAATCCATCAGATTTATCCACTAGCCGTTTAAGTCTATATGAAATCGTGTTCCGTAGATATTTTGCAATAAGTAAGACAAATAAAATCCTGGCTCAGAGTTTCATTTTACAAGAGCAAGTAAATCAGTAAAAAAAAAAAAATACACAGAATTACCCCCAAAATATAGTCAAGGATATTTATTTGCAAAGGCTCAAGAGATGGGTCACTAAGTGTTAATAGAGTAGCATTAATCTCATCCAGATTCAGAAGAGTCCCTGTTCGGCAGAATTTGCAGAATGTTGCAGCTTCAACATATTCTTGTACCTGCAAAGACCCAAGTTAAACAAATTAGGAGCCTACCTCTGGCCTTAAAAGGGAAAAAGACAAGGTCATTACTCATTACCCCAGGAGAATATGCTCGTCTTAGCTTCCAAAAGTCGGTCCCTTGCAGTTCTTTAACCATTCGAGACATATAGCGATCTGTTACAGCTGCTAAATCTTTTTCAGCCTTCTCAAGAACTTCTTCTCTGTTATCCTTACTCATTCTGTCATTACACAAGACCATAGCACCAATATATCAGTACAGATGTCAGATCAAAATTCAAGATTCAGGAAAATTAGCCGTCACAAAAACTTCTTCTCTGTTATATTTACTCATTCTGTCAGTACCAATGTAAGATCAAAATTCAGGATTCAGAAAGATTAAGTCCCAAAGTGAACCCGTCATGTATCATGTAAACCAAAAAAATGTCCACTCCCCTACTTGTAAAAACTAAATTTGATATGGAAAATTAGCATCTTGAAAAGAATCATTTGAAAGATAATACATATATATAAAAAAGCTGTTTGCTTATAACCTGTGCACTTGAAAGATGACCTTTTTGCTGTTCATGGTTACATCGCGACTTGCCTTTACCACTCTTTCCCGCTTTTCATTCTACAAGAATCCGTAAGACAATTGGTTAGGACAGCATAGTTTTAGTAGTGAATGATAAGAGGTGGATGAAACCATTAAAAAATCAACACCAGTAGTACCATGCATGCTTGGAAAGTGTAAATATTTTGCAGAGAATTTCCATATGGTAAAATCTTTTACAGTGCCCATTATCGAGAGCCTAGTCATGCATATGGTTCCAGACATCTTTAGCCAAGCATAAATTAGTCCTGAGCTTATATTTAAATTAGACCCCACTGTCTGTTTATTCAACTAGCTCCTTGAAATTAAAATTAACTTTCAAGTCTCAAACTTCAAAATGAACTCCATGACAAAAGCAAACACTTGAGTTTCTTTTTGGCATGAAATTTGCAATGTGGTAGAGTAAGTCTCACAACCAGATGATTTAGCAGTTCGTTTCTATCCCTGGCCTATTTATCATGCTTCATTTCATCTGTTTAGTCAAAACTCATTTTACTCAATAATCTTTTCTCCACTTCGACAATGCAATAAATTCTATTTTAATCTCCTGCTTAATTCTATTATGTAAAATTTTTGTCAACGTTTAGCACGTTATCTTAAAAGGTTTTATGTATAATCTCACCACATAACTCCCTCAAATGTTTAACTAATAAGTTGAATAACTGTCATAGGTGTCTATCAAACAGAAGTCAATACACATGGATTTTTCAAAAATATTTTGTTTCAAGCAACTGCAAAAAAATTGAATGAGCCATACATGAAAAAGCTAATTAACCTATGTTAAATTTCTGAATGCGAAACTATTATATTTGCAAAGCTAAATTTTGCATTTATTTATTCATTATTCCTTTATATCTCAGACTTGCTCTTTCTCTTTGAACCATTCAGTTTCTTCTTCGGTTTGCATTGGCCCATTATCTTCTTGATAAATATTCTGTGACTAAATTCAAAATCATTCACTAGGAGAAAAATTTATAATCATAAACATTTAGAATATAATTAAAGAGCAGCAAAACAACAATAACAAAGAAGAAGCAGCAGCTAATAGGAAAAAAAAAAAAAAAAGAAAAAAAAAAAAGCAGCAGCTAATAGGAAAAAAAAAAAAGAAAAAAAAAAAAAGAAAATTTTACAAAGGTTAAAAAAAAAAAAAAAAAAAAAAAAAAAAAGAAATTTACAAGGTTATTAAGATATTCTGCGTATTTTCCAAATGCATCTTTGAATGAGGACTCTGTGCTCATTGTCCTTGCTCTCTTAGCTGAGCTCGGTAACGCAGTACCTGCAACTGGTTTTCTATATTTCTTCAGTGACTCGTAAAAACTTAAACAGACAAAAGAAGAATATAAATACGAAGTTAGGGTTTTTATTTCCATTTCGGTGGATAGGTATAAGAGAGAAAAAAGATTACCTTGATCGAGACGGTGGGGTTTGGGCTTCGGAGCCATGAGAAAGATCCTATGGAGTAAACGAGCGCCGTACAACATCTACCTGTCTCTCTCCCCAAAACGACACGAAACGAAACGCCTCCTCTCCAAAAGTCGAATTTTTATTTATTTTATATTTAGACGACGTCGTTTTCAAACTTTAAAGTGGCTGGTCAGCCGTACCAATGGTGGACAAATCACTCCTTTCTTCGAGAATCTGTGGGCGCGTCAACTTTACTAGAATCCACAGAACCAGTGAAAATGGCTGCGTATCTTAATATAAAAGGAACAAAAAGAATAGAGACAGAGAACGAAGATTTTCATTTCAATTTTTATTTTTTGTTGAAGGAGAGAATATGGTGACTCTATTGGTGGCCACTACCAGAGATCCGGCATCCATCAATCCTGCCACCGCCCTCTTGGCCATGGCCGGATGGCAACCTGGCCATTCTCTTCAGGTTCTTTTGATTTAATTTTTCAATAATTTGGTCTACATTTTTTTTATTTCTCCGTTAATTTTTTTTTTTTTGTTGAAAAATCAAAATGAAGGAAATTAAGAGTTTTTGTAATCAACAAGTGAGGCTATTACAACACGACAAAAGCATTGTGGAAGAAGACGACTTGGATCGCCGGTGGGAGGAGGCAACCTGTGAGGTGGTGGATGAGGTTATCTTTTTCAGCAGACACACTGCCGTTTCAAACCGTCCTGCGCTTACTGTTCATCCGATCGGTATAAACTCTTTCTCTTTCTCTCCCTTTCCTTCTGTGTGTGTTATAATTGGAACTTTGAACCAAGCGTGTGTTTGTGGTTTTCATTATGCGCAGGAGTGCCTCATTTGCGCGAAGGAGATGTTACGCCCCAAGGCGGGAAGCCAGGATGGGCTGCGCCTCCTGATCCCAGGATGGGACCATGGCTCAGACTTTTGAAAAAAATTGCTGAGTCTCATAATTTAGTTCCAGAGTTTGAGGTACTTCATGTTCTTCTTCTTCTGTCTCTTTTTTTTCCCCTTAAAAGTTATTACCTTTTTGTAGCTTAGGTATAATTCATATATGGTTTTCACTAAATTAATTCACGCGATTTATTAAAATTGTTTTTCTCAAGTGTAGATTACTTTAGAGGGTACTCATCATGGACCAGTGACTACTAAGCCAACAATGTTCATTGAAATTGGTAAATTTCCTGCCATTTTCTTTTTTTTTTAACTGTATTTCTCCTTTGTTGCTCTTTGTGTTTGAATTTTTGTAATTTCAGTTGTAGTGAAATACTAAACAGAACTAAATACGAAAATAACAATGGCCCTTTTGTTTCAATACTCAAGGATGGTAATGCATCTCATGTGGTTGACATTTTGGATCTATACTAGTTAAATGGAGTTGCTTGTTTTCCTCTCAGTACTAGGTTTACATTGTTTTTCTTTCAAGTATGTAATAACTAGCATAATTGATTAGAACTTGGAAAAGCAATAACCTGGTAATGTGATTGAGTAACTAATACTGGGCTAACTTGTTATTTATCTATGGACAAAGATGACTTTTTTTATAGTCAGCACTTTTGTGAAAGTTAGTGCTTTGTTCTTATGCATTTGAAACCTTTTGTTCTTATTTGGTTGGTGCCTTTTGCTGGATAGGTAGCACGGAAGAGTACTGGAAGAGGCAAGATGCTGCTCAAGTCGTTGCTCTAGTTGAGTTTATATTCAGGGCTTTATTAAGATCTGAGCATCTGTCACTGGCTTGCAGTACTGAGATTTTAGCCTTTGTTTTTTCTTAGTTTTATTTTTGAATATACTTAATTTTATTTATTAATCTTGGGTTTTGGATCTTGCAATGAAATGAAAATCGTATTATAGAAAATAAATATTTTTAGCTTCGCCTTTCTCTTAAAGATTTTTTATTTATTTTATTCCTTTAAAAGAAAAGAATCAACCGAAAGATGTCATAAAAGCAATCAAGTTAAAGTAATTAAGGTGATTCCCATATTCTGAAGGTACTTTAATATATTTATCTATAATGAAATGTTGGTTTTACGTACCAAACATTGCTAATGTGAGACACAAGTTCAGAAGAGAGTATGGATAAAAACATTGTCCTGTTTTTTGACTTATGCATATGCACTATATGCAAGAAATCATTTGTTTCTCAGCTTTGAGGTACAACATTTGGCTGATGCCATGCTAGTATAGCAACCATATTACTAGAAACACTATTATCTTTCCTAATAAATTGATTTCATTTGTGCTTGAAGTTAGTTTGGGAAGGACTCGGACTTGGAGGAGCGACATCAGTTGGAGACTGGAGCAGGTAATAATGGTGTATCTCAGATGCTAATCATTAGTTTTTTCTCAAGTGATATACAGTAAGTCTCTGACATGAATAATTAGCTACTTGCTTAATATTGACAGATCAGTAGGTATTACTGGCTGTATTTTCTGAGATCCTCCTTTGCGTAATATGGATTTGCTTCTTGTGTAGTAAATATTTATTGTAAGCCCATGCTTCAATTGCGATGAACCTTTTTTTTTCTTTTCCTATTTCTTTTCTGTAAATATCCATTGGTACTTTGTAAGGAACTGCAATCAGATTTTGTCGAGTTGTATAATTTAATTTACTTCCCAATAATAATATGTGGTGGATTATTAAAACTATTCCCTGGTTCATGATGATGCTTCTCTAATCTTAGTTCTCATTTATGGACACCTAGTGCAAGTGACAAGAGAAGAGTACTCCTTGGAATTGGTGGTGGACACTACGCACCTCGGCATATGGATATAGTTTTGTAAGTAATTTGGACCTGTTTTCTTTACTGTCTTGAACATTCTACTTTTGCTACCTTTTCGCTTGAGTTATGAACTTCTATGTTCTAGATTGGTTTATCGAATTGAAATGAATATGCTAAATTATTTATTTATTTATTTTTTTAATTTAAAAATTCTGAAATTATCCGTATGATGCAAGTATTTTCTCCTTTATATTTGCAATAATTTTGTAGGTTGATGACATGCAGGTGTGCACCATTATCCAATTCATCTCAGTGTGCCCGAATCATTTCTCTGTTGCCTATATTTTTGGAGCACCACCTTTTTTCTTAGTGGTGTTACTTGTTTTTTCCATGTTTTTACTGACTAGCTAGCATACTTGCACGTGCTCAATTGTTAAGTACTGTTTCACTGAGTGAGTTCATTGTGTCCTTTTGTGTATAACAATAGAAAAGATGGCGTTTGGGTGGGACACCTACTTTCCGGGTATTCTATACCCATGGAAGATCCAGGTCAGACAAACAAGGGTACAAATGCAAAAGATATTGGTGGAACTTGGAGAGAAGCAATTAAAGCTGCATATGATGCTACTAAAATAGCTTTCCCTGGTGGGGAAATTTTGGCACATCTTGATCACAAGTAAGTTCCCTGTGGAAAAATTCTTGAATGGCTTAACGTACCTCTACAAGACCATGTTATATTATTTTAGCTGTAGGCTTCATGGTGTAGTTGGACAATGGGTAATGATAAATGCAAACAAAATCAAAAGCAAATTTATCAGTAATGAATGAGGAAAATGTTGAGCAGAATGCCTTAAGCTTACCAAATATTAAGTTATGGCCACCTGGGCTTGTGTCAATGTTCCAAGCCCCAAGGAGGCTGGTTAAAGAAAGCAAAAGGTGCTAAATCAGTGTTCTTTTCCATATAACCTTGAATTTTGAACTACTTATGCAGACAGTATCAAAATTGATGGCGACTGGATAGTTGAGGAATTCATTCACTTAGAAAATCTAGATTTCTCATTTCTTTTCAAGGGTTTTGTTGCAATGCTTGCAAGGACTTTGTTAATGGTGACTTCACAGTCTTGTTATATCCTCATACACTTTTTAAAAAACTTCCTTTAAAAAAAAAAAAAAAAAAATTCCCTTTCATCTCTTCTCTCAAATTTGGGGATAAGTAGTTCCATACTTCCATTCGATTGCCAGGCACATTGTTATCCAAACTTAAGCATTCTAACATGGCAGACACCGGAAGAAAGGGATATAAAAGTATCAATAACTTGTTTTATGTATAATTTAACGTTAGCACATTTTAATTATTTTAATCACATTGGAAACACTGGCACATGCACCATTTAGATTGTCTGTTATCCCATTCATCCTTGTTAGATGAATAATTTCATTACTAAACTTGATACAAATTACTGATTGCAGGAGTTTCAAGAGCTGGCAGAAAAATGCTGTTATTTCTTTTTTAGGAGAACAGAACATTAAAATTGGGAAGCCCGGTGATTTCCATTAATTGCAATTGGAAGCATGGGAGGACTTTTATTCTATAAACAGGTAAGCGTAAATCAGATGGCACAGCAGAAGATTTGAGTTATATGCACTTCCCATTGACATCCTATTAATTCTTTCTGCCAAGTGATTTATTATATGTAGAAGGTGGAATCCATTTGAAAGTGATATCATAAAAAAAATGTAAGCATTTTTTATCCTGGGTGCTTCATACATTTTAGGTAAACCAAGCTTTGTAATTTTGTAAAATGATCAGACCTTGTACTGCTAATCGCAATAGTATCAATATAATGGCGGAGAATATTATTATTTCTAAGCATATTGATTTACAATTCTCTATATACACATGTTTGACCTGTAAGGAACAAGTTTACACATTCTCGCAATGGAGTATCAAGGTATTATAATGCTAATAATTTCCGCATCTGTGAAGACGTTGAGCTCCCTTAACTCACTATTTCAAAGCAAATCTAAGGAAAACTTGCCAATATCTGTTCACCAATAATCCCCACAAGAACATAATCCATCTCTGAAGTGATGAAACCTTTTGTTGTCTCTTATGATTATCTCTCTTTGAACTACCTTTGATATTAACTTTGCAGCATTATGGCAATCTACACAAATTCGTAGATTCTTGAAAATCCTGAGAGTTGTACCTTTATTTGTCTTCAATAACCCAAAAGTAATTGCAAGTTTCTCACTGTGCCCTCTCAATATCTTAATCTTCTTCTCTTCCTCTACCTCATGAAACACAGAAGCTGTGTTAGGTTTATATCCAACTTTACTGATCTCTTTTTCTAACCTTCTCCATATCGACCGGATTTCTTCCGACTTTGGCGACAAATTGTCCCCTACAATGAAACTATATACATTACCTCCAAGTTCGATCCAGCTGCATCCAGCATCCTTTTTTAGGCCAATATCCTTCATCACTTGTCTCACTTTTCGCACATCGTCCCATCGACCCCATCTAGCATACAGGTTTGAAAGTAACACATAATTCTCCGCTTTCTTTGGTTCTAATTCTAATAACTTCAATGCAACTCTCTCTCCCATTTCCAGATTACCAAAACTTATGCAGGAACTAAGCAATGAGCTCCAGATTCTGCTGTCTGGTTGAACAGGCATCTTATCGACAAACCTTAGAGCATCATTGAATCCTCCAGCACGACCTAACATATCTACAACACAACTGTAATGCTCTAATTTTGGTTCTATTGCATGGGAATTCCGCATCTCCTTGAAATAGTTCAGCCCTTCTTCAACTAGCCCTGCATGACTACACGCTGTTAAAATACCAAGAAATGTGACACTATCAGGTATTTTGCCGACTTTCTTCATTTTCTCAAATAGATCTATTGCCTCTTTCCCATGTCCATGAACTCCATATGCAGCAATAATAGCATTCCATAATATCAAATTTTTATCTCTCAATCCATCGAAAACTCTTCGAGATTCTGTTATACATCCATTTTTTGCATACATGTCTACAATGGAACAACCAACGAAAACATCCTCGAGGAGGAGGGATTTTAATGCATAACAATGAGTTTCTTTCCCCAAACGCAAAGCTGATCGTTGTGAACAAGCCCCAAGCACACTCACTATAGAAATATCACATGGCTTAATTCTACTGGAAAGCAATTTACGGAACAAAGACAAGGCTTCCTCTGGAAATCCATTTTGTGAGTAACCAGAAATCATTGCATTCCAGGAAACTAAAGATTTGTTTTCCATCCCTTCAAACAATAAACGTGCAAAGGATAATTTTCCAAAATGTATGTAGAGGGATAATAGTGAGACACCAATAAACGGATCTTTTTCTAATCTATTTCTTACCACAAATCCATGAACTTCTTTTCCATAGTGCAGAGATTTCTGGTGAACACAAGCTAAAAGAAGACTGCAAATGCTAAACCAATCAGGTTCCAAGCCTGAACATATCATTTGAGTGTATGAGCTTAAAGCTTGTCTAGGATCACCATTCTGCACATAAGCAACAATAAGTGCATTCCAAGAACTCACAGTCTTCGTTTCCATACTGTTGAAAACACATTCAACAGAACTCAGCAACCCACACTTGGCATAGGCAGCAATAAAAGCATTGGCCACCAATTCATGGTATTGAAACCCATGTCTAATTGAATAGCCATGAAGTTCCTTTAAACTCCGCAATTGTGAATTTCCCAAACAAACAGGCATAATATTCAACAAAGTAACCTCATTAGCCTCTACGTTCCCTTGCATCTGCATTTTCCTCAAAAGATCAAATGACTTGTAGATATATCCTTCTTTAGATAAACCCCCAATCATTGTATTCCAAGAAACCACATTTTTGCTATTGGTCTTATCAAATAACAATTGTGCTTCAAACAAGTACCCAGACTTTGAATACATGTCTATCAAAGCATTGTTCACTGTTACCTCATTGCTCAGCCTTAGTTTCACAGCGAAACCATGAATTCCCATTCCCAGATCAACTTCTGCTTCTCTTGCACAAACTGGTAATACAGTCACCATTGTTGCAACATCAGGTAACAATCCTTCCTCTCCGACCAACATCTCCACCAACATATTAAGACTCTGACGAGAAAACCCATTTTCAGAAAACCCAGAAATTATTGAATTCCAAGAAACCAAATTTCTCACTGGCATACAATCAAACACTTCCACTGCTTCATCAATTAACCTACATTTTCCATACATTGCAACCAAAGCATTACCCACAAAAACATCAGAAACCAGGCCCATCTTTATTACCATTCCATGGATCACTTTACCTAACCCAGCATCTAAAACCCCACCACAAGCCTTTATCACACAAGGGAAAGTAAAATTATCAGGTTTAAACTCTGTCTCTCTTATCATTTCCACAAACACGTTAAGTGCATCAAAATAAAGTTCATTTCTAGTGTACCCACTAATGAGCGCATTCCATTGAAACAAATTCTTCTTCTGCAAATTATCAAACAGAAGAAAAGAATCCAAAGCAGACCCACACATGGCATACATTGTAATGAGACGGTTGTTAAGAACGCAGTCATTTCTATACTGACCATACTTTGAAACAATTTCGTGGATTTTTCGACCAGTTTCGATGTCTTTATTATGGGCGCAGGCTTGAAGCAGAATACCGATTGCTTGTTTTGTTTGTAGTGAATTGTAAGTAGCATTTTGTAAGTTTACCTGAAGAATGGTTAAGGCTCCAGTTAAATTACCAATTTCACAAAGATTAGTAATTTCTGGGAGAAATGAGTGACTAGTTAGGGATGTTAAACGAGTTTTAGCAGAAAGATGAAGAGATGCTCTTGGATTAAGAGTTGATTCAAGATAGTGGCTCCTACGCAATACTTGATTGGTCTTATAAAAGTAAGAATGTTTTTGACTGGTAGTAAGTGATAGTACCACTAAACCACTATTATAGAGTTGTTGCAGAGAGCTCATGGCATTCTCTCCTCCTTCCTCGTTTTCCGCTCTGCTTCAAGTTTATTTTTGCTCATATTCATACGGATAATTTATATATTTGGCGGCCAGGGGGTGTGCAAACGGTTCGGTCCGAACCGCAAAATTGAAGTTAATTTTTGTTTGAAACCGAACCGCACCAGAGTCGAAGCCAAAATTAAAAACCGAATCGAACAAGGAAAACAATTCTGTTTTTCGGTTTTTTCGAGAGTAACCCTATTTGGTGCACTTTGTTTTTCTGCTTTAATGTTTGAATTTTATTTTTTCTTAATTAACAGTTTAAATAAATAATTTATTTTCAAATAAATATTTTTATTAATTTTATTTTCGTAAATATTTATGTGATCTATTACATAAAAATAATTTGTTAGTTTTCAAGTGAAAATTACTCACTTTTTCAATGAAAGGACCCAAGAATTTGAAGCAGAAGTTAAAAAGATTGCATAATAATTTCTCGTACATATAAATATGCAAATATTAATATTAAAATATAATTTACTTGTCCAAGTGTATTTTACCCTTCAAATATTCAAAAAGGAATTGACTCAAGTAACTATGGATTCCATGTTTTTGAGATTTAAATTGAGGATTTAAAGTTAAATAATCTGAGGACCAACTAAATTATTAGATTTCATTTTCTTTTTGCTTTTCTATAAGACCAATGTCATAGCTCTAAACCTCTACCCCCTCTTTTTCCTCGATCAAGGTAGACTCTGAGAAAATAACTATCGATCTTTCCATGACTAGGAAATTATGATAATTAAAACAATGAATTTACAGAATTTTCAGCCAAAAATATTGTAGACAGTTGATGATGATTTAAGGTCAGAGGGAGCTGAGGTAATCTTTTATCAAACTTAAAATTGGGTTGGCATAAGAAGATTCCTCCAATCTCTGGAACATGATTCCATCCATTCGAGCTTGAACTCCATCTGCAAACGTTAGGTCTTGTAACAATTCTTTTAAAGTTCTATCTACTCCTGCTATAGAACTCCCTATGCCACTTAAAACCTCTGGCAATGTAGGAGACGGTCTTGACAGCTCAACCACAGTTACCTGGACAGTTAATTGAAGGTGTCAAGATAGGTCATATGGAAGATAGGAAAAATGCGGTTGCTTCTTCCTGAATGCAAATGCAAAAATCATTTGATTACGAAAAGCTAGTTCTCACATACAGACAATTCTCACTGATCAACTACAAGTAAGCTTTGAGTACATCAACATTCTTTGCTCAAAGAGAATCAAATTTAGTGATCAACATGAAATATAAGGAAAGGTTAATTAAGTCAAAACTAACCTCTCTGTCTTGTGGAATATTGGCCTTCTGTTTCGCTATGGCGATAGCACGAGAAAGCCCACCAATGGCATCAACTAAACCTCGTGAAGCTGCATCTTTACCAGTCCAGACTCTACCCTGTGCAACCTCTTCCATCTTTTCCACCTGCAAGTAACGATGAGAAATTCTGAGTTCCATTTTCCCATTCCTTCTTCTTATTCTTCCTCTTTTTTTGCTCCAGAAAAAGAAAATTTGTATGGTAAAACAAAAATTACAGGCATTGATCTCGAAAAGGCTGCCTTGTCTCGAAATTGTTTATACGCATGTTGAGCAGACCTAGCAAAAAGGTCTGCTTCATCTGGTCTGGAAAAGCAACTCCGGTTAGTTTCCTTCAGGTAAACATTGCAAATGTAAACATAAGCCAAAAAGGAAATGCAAATTTAGTAGCCATATTCAATCGATTAAAGAAGCCTTCATGACAACAAATTCAGGCATGACATCCAAAACCACAAACCATGAAATCCCATCTAACTCATGTTTTGACCCACAGTTTAAATTTTGGATGCACAACTCTGTTTGAAGACTTGTATCAGTATATACGACATGTAGAAGGCCTCTCACCTCAAAGGTCGTTGTTCAGCTGCAAGGAGCTCAGCATATTTACCCCTTGATATAATCTCCTTGTTGAAGCCAATCTTTTCATATAGTTTAGCCAAGTTAAATTTCCCTGCAACCAACCATTTTCTAAGGAACTGAGATTAACAAAAAAAACAGAAGGTTTCATTTAGCTGCTTAAAAGAAGTTTTTTTTTTTTTTTCTTTTCTTTTTTGGTCCCCTAATTTGTCCCACTGATAAAGTAACTTCTTCATTGTTGGCTAATCTAAACACAAATGGAACTTAATTCTTCTTTACTTTTTTCCCTCCTCTCTTGGGTGCCTATTCTGCTCTCTGTCACAATATTATTAACATATTTACGCAAAATAAAAGAAACGACCATGTATTTACACAACATACATAAAGAGATTTATGATTTAGAGTTCACCTGTAACAACTCCAATAGAGCCAGTTAGGGTTAAATTTTCTGCAACTATAGTCCCTGCTGCCATTGCCATGTAGTATCCTCCACTTGCAGCCACATCAGACATCGATGCAATCACAGGTTTTTTTTCAGCCAAAAGTCGGATTTCCCTCCACATTCTGAGTGTGATTAAAAATTAAAAAAAAGGCAATTAATAGATAACTCAATTTTATTTTATTTTCCTTTTCTAAAGCAAAAACGAACCAAGTATCACATTCAATCTTAAAACTTCCATACACATATTTGAATGCCAGATTGGAGGCTTAATGCCAGGATTTCACTGTTTCCCCATCTCTAGTGTATAGATTTTAAATTGGCATTACAAAATACAAATTTTAAATTTGTATGGTTACTAAGAAGATTTCTTCCATAAAAGCGTCATAATCATAGCCATATCCTCACAGTTGTTAAATTACAATTCGAATTGTGAATAAAAGTCCTCCCAGGGTTGAAGGTTCAGTACTAATTCTCAAAACAATTATAAATGACACATACTCATATAGAAGAAACAAAATACAAATTAAAAAATGAGTTTTAATTTTTAACTAACATTGAACAAGCGAGGTACTTGCTTTTTAGTACATTATATTATAGGCCTTTATTTTTATATGAAATGATAGTTCTTAAAACATATATCATCTACATGCAAAAAAAAAGAGAATATTTTCATGTTAGTTTAATAGGAAATGTATTTGAAAGTTAAATTCCATATTAGACAGCCATGTAGAGTAAGGCAAATAAAATTCTTCTTTCCAAGTATGTATTCACTCTCGCTTTTTAAGAATTTCACCAACCAACTAAAATATTTCTTCCGAGGACCTATGTATTTTCACATACTATATTATCTTCAAAATAGTAAAATTTCTATAGCTTATGTTATCCTCAAAATTCCAAGGAATTAAACAGATATATGGATTACTATTACACTTTATCTTTAGTTATTAGTCGTAGAAATACCCCTTTATTATGTAGTGATGAGGAAGAAGAAGGAAAAGAAAAGAAGGGAAAAGATAGAAAAGGAAAAGAAGTGGGAGAGAGATATGGAAGGAGGAGCAGAAAAGAAATAGCTATAGAGTGAGAAGGAAGAGATGGAGAGAGCAGTTGATGAACTGGAAATTATAAGACATGAATTCTCTCTGGTTTATTTTATGAATCATGAGAATTTAAAACTGGATTCAATTGAAAAGTCCTTGCGGTGAATTGAATCGTAGATTTACCTATCATTTTGTTGAATATCGAGTTCATATCCAATTTGAATATTTCACGCCCAAATCTAAGCAAAGCATATTGACAGCCAACTTGTTCTCAGAAACAGCAAATCAAGTTCCTCCTCCATCAATCTTGGACAAAGGAAGGAAGTTGAGGAGAGAAGAAAAGTTGGGGAACCAAAGGGGAACGATTTATCCTCTTTAACCACTTTCACATTGAATTAATGACATAGAAATATCAGGTAGTTTATCAACAATAATATCAACTTTAATCATTAAAGAAGTCTTCATAAAACATGGCACATTAAGGAACACTTACAAATCAGAAGCAAGGGCATCACCTCCAGGGCTGTCAATCCGAACAATAACAGCTTTATATCTTTTTGACTCTAGAGGAAATTAGAAAAGTATTGAGAGAGACAGAGGAAAAAGCATAGAAAATAATTAGAAAACAACAGCATTTCTGGGACAGAAAAATATAAACACCAAAGATGCAAAGAGCTAAATCAGTAATAACTAAAAGCTCATACAACTATTTTGAACTTTCTTTCCTTGTTATTACTTTTTTTTTACCTTTCTTTATTTCTTTATTTATTCACTTATTAAATATGTTATAAAAAGAAACAGTTTTGAACTTGGCAAGTCTCAGCTAACACGCAGCCTTTTAACCCTCATCTTTTCTTGTGTTCATTCCCCGTATCTTTATGTGCTAACTGATATCGTTATAGTCACAAATGGTACAAACAAAAAATATTTTAGCATTTTTCTTCCCCTAACCAAGATCCCAAAAATATCTTGCTCAAAATATTGCATAATCTCTTTCTCAAAAAACGACCAAGTATCTCTGGAAATGAGGAAATTGTGCCAAAAATTGACAACGGTAGCAAAACAAGAATACATGTTTGGATTAATGAAAAGAGATTCATGCGTCCGAGTATACCTCTTACTTGACGAATCTTCTCAATGAATTGCTCCCCAACGATACCAGAACTTGGTAAACTTAATGGACTCCGCACACGACTAATGCTCCCAGATGCTCTGACCACAGCTATCTGGTCTTGACCACCAGTTATACCAAGTGTCCAATTCCTAACTCGCGAGTACTTCCTGGATACGGGATGGAAGGACATAAGCAAGTGAGTGAGTAACAGATAGAAGATGCAAATTTCTCATATAAACCAATTTCAACTAGAAATAGGAACATAGTACATATTTTTAGTTGTTCATAGAAGAAGATCCACGCATGTGACTTCAAGTGGAATTACAGAAGGATTTTGGAACCTTCTTCCTGTATCAATTACTCGATTGTTCAAGCCTTTTGTATGGGGAGAATGCAGCATACAGCAAGTACATCTCCCACATTTGCAGATCTAATCTAAAATTAATACTTGAGTAAGTTTTTTGCATTGGAAAAATGGGGAAATATGTGAAGTTTGATCAACAGAAGCTAGGATAGTCCCAGGAATGAATCAAGAACTAAGCCATATGACACAGCCAATCCAAAATGCTAACATATTACATCTCCTTTTCTTTTTGGGCACACTGGAAAATATCTTACATTTGCAATTTGGAAAAAATGACTGATAATTTGCAATTCTAATTAAAGGTTATCCAGTTTAGTAGATACATAAAAAATGACAGCTTCAAGAAGATAATATGCTCATATAGACATGGAAATAAGGCAAATGAAGAGAAATTGACTACCCGTAGTCAACCATAGGAAGAATCTTATCCTTTTGGACACTGAGTTTCTCTTTCAGCATGGAGATAACCTGCAGGTTAATATATCACTGAGACAATATCCAAATATTAGCATGCAGAAACACACACACAAACATATACACATTCACATGCCATTTCCAGATTGCAATTTTAAGGATACTGTCTTCTTAGAAGCCCCGTTTTATATTTATTGGAAAAAGTCTATAACAAACATATTCGAACGAGCAACATGAATTGCCACTCTCAGAAATTTGAATGAAAATAACACAGGAGTTTTGGGAATCATTGATTACCAGGTATTGTGAACTTTTTCATTTAGATTTTAAAGGAAAAATCATTACCATAAGAATCAAATATTGCAATAGGGGACAGCTTCAGCATATATTGGTTTGCAAATGTTGATGCCCAAGTTTAAATAAAAGTCAAAATACATTTCTCTACCTCATCATCATAGTGTATATTAGTTATCAAGCCTTCTTCTTTCAGCCTCTCTACTTTGTAGACTCCTTCATTGATGAAGTTCTCAATGTCTTCTCTCTTTTTTCCTACATAGATTTTCAAAGACCAATAACAATATTTACTGCTATAAGATTGAGCAAAACTCCAATACCAAAAAGAACCTTTTGTGGAAGAAATGCAATCCAGCCAATTCCCATAAATGTTATCAAGCAACGCTGTTAGCATCTCACAATTTTCTTCAGACATAGTTTTCCGCAGAAGTTGATCCCCAGCACTTTTGTATTTACCAATCCTTTGAACTTCTGGTTCAACTCCTACTTTATCAAGAACTCCTGAAAAAAAAATTTCCATGATGCCCAAGCACAAATATTTGTAATTTGTAAATTACATCCATTTTAGTTACCAACAATCTCTAACAATGTAAAATTCAAAGGAATTTCTCTATAAATCATTATCTCATTTGTAACAGATGTGAATAAAAAACAGCAAAGCCCTACGCAGTAGGCAACAAAAATTTTTTTTACAACCATATGCAAGATGGAAAAGCACTCAACTGTAATGCTCCAATGTAATGCATTCAAAATTCAATCATTAATATATATGATGTAAGCAACAGAATATGTTAATACAGTAAATGCTCCAATAAGATTTCTCTCTCTCTCTCTCTCTCTCTCTCTCTCTCTCTCTCATATAAACACACACACAATGTAATCCAAGAAGACCTCAGAGGCAAGGATTCTTGAAACTTCTTAAAATAGCTCCCAAAATTTTCTGGAAGCATCTAATTAACCCTCTTCTTATCTAGCTGGCGGCAGTATTTGGTAATCTAGTAAACACAACTCTCAGAAAAGCATATCTACAAGTAGAAAATAGCTTTATTCCAAACTGGAATCTGGAGCCATGATTAAGGTTGGGGCGGTAAACATCACCCAACTATTCCAGAAGAACAAGCATAGTACAGCAACCAGTAGCTAAGAAATATCCCTCAAAGAATGTTTTGAGCAAAAGTCTGAAAGGCCGGATTAAACTGAAACGAAGCATTTGATACTTCTTTCCATTAGGAGGCTTGGAGCTAAGTAAATTTTTGTGCACTTGGAGTTCATATGACAAAAAAAAAGGTGAAAAGATTCCCATTCTAAGGCTATCATTCTATAATTTCTAGCATTGATACAGTTGCAGCCTAGTAAATTATATGTTGAACGGAAACAGAAAGGTGGAAGTGCGGAAATATGGAAACGGACATGGGGAAACCGTATTTTAAAAAATATAGGAAACGAAAACATGGGTGGAAACGCGTAAATATGAAAAATATAGGGTTATTTATAAATATAAAAAATAAATTACAATAAACCATTAAATATAGTCAACAATAAGTCCAGTCCAATCAACATTTAATCATATCCAAAAGAAAAAAAGAATTTGTTTACAATTTCCATACTCGTAAAAAATACATGTTTTTTCAATTTATATTTAATTTATGTATTTGAGAGTTTCCAGAAACGTATTTTCTTAGAGCGGAAACGTGTTTTTAAAGTTACCCAATTTATGGTTCAAAGAGAATTTCCTTGCAGAATATTATTATCAGTAGATTTTCAACATAAAATTATCTAATAGCTTGGGCAATTACTAGACTAACCTCGAAGGAATGATGCTTGAACCGTCAATCCATACAAAGAAAAATAAGCACTTGGAGGAACATATATCTCATGGCAGGCACAAGCAAGATAATACTCTTTCTCTCTACAAGCAGGAATATAGCAAACAATGAATTTTCCTGCAATTACCACAACATAAAAATAATAGTTATCACCATGCCATCTATTAAGATAGTGTCTAGAAGAATTGGGCAACACAGAATGAAATACTCAAACCAAACAAAGAGATTATCTATTTGTATGAACCGGCATCAAATAGAAGTGAAACAATAATCAACATTATACAATAAAGGATATAAAATGTCCTAAAAGGTCCAGAAAAGCCAGTTACTTCCAAAATAATTTGATTCAGCTATAACAATTAACAAAGAGTAATGGTTTGGCCAAGGAACGCATGAAAAGAAAGTGCGATAAGACATGTGCTTTTAACTTCTAAGAAATTCAATTCAAGCCTACCTGATTTCTTGAAATTTAAAATGTATCTCCGAATCTCTTCAACTTTACCCCACCCACAATTCAAGGGCTCAATGTGGAGATAAATACCAGAAATACGAGGATCATAAGCAGCTTTTATAAAATTCTCACAAATTTGGGGTAAAGATAGTCCTGAAGAGAAACGGCTCTTTAGCTGATCAGATATCTGAACATTAAAAACAATATACGAAACTTCAACTTCAATAAAAACATTTAATCAAATTCAAAAATTCATATTATAATACAACTAAATCGAGAGAAATAAGAAAAGGAAAACCTGGCCGCGCAATTTCATAGTCAAAACGCTGCCTTTCCGAACGCGCTCCCAAGGGAATGCAATCAACATACGAAGCTTAACAAGAAAACGCTTCCAAGCTCCAAATTCTTTAAACTCAAATTCTCCAGTTGGGTAATCTTCTTGAACTCTCTTAACGCTTCCATCTTCTGAGCCGGATTGTTTCTTCTCTGCTTCTTCTTTAATTTCTTCTGTTTTAGTATCGGAGGAAGAATCGAAAGCCCGAGCGGATAAATTTCTGCAGCGAAGAATTGGAGAAGGAAAGGAATGGAGAGGAGGAGAGCTGGAGATATGGCTTTGGATGTGGTTAACGGTGGCGGTGACGGTGGCAGTGGTGGATGGAGGAGGAAAGAGAGAGGAAGAAAGGTGGAAATTAGGTTTAGAGAGAATTGAAGTGATGGTCCGGCGATAGACAACTGGGGTGAAATTAGGAGAGTGAAGGAGAAGTAACTTAGACATTTTTGAGAGCGAGCTCAGCTTAGCTTAGGTTAGCTTCTTCTCTCTCACAGAGTGGCAGAAAGAAAGACGAGAAGAGAAGAGAAGGATGACGAGGTATAGTTTGGTCCACGTCAACACACTCTTGGGCATGACAGTGTGCCATGGATTTGAATATAGATGACGTGTTTCCAATAAAAAGGACCGCCAATAAAAAAATAAATTAATATGTTTAAGATAATAATTTTGATATTATTTAAAAATAATTTTTACATTTAATAAATATGAATATTTTTGAGTTAATTTTTTATACTAGCGTTAAATTTATTTCATATATTTTTAAAAAATATTTTTTCTTCCAAAAAAAAGTTTTTATAGTAGTTTATTATATGAAAAATGTTTTAATTCTATTTATCCAATTTTGATTAAGAAAAAGGTTTTATCCTTGTATAAAAAAAAAAAACCTTGTATAGGAAAAAAAAGGTTTTAATCAGTATTTATTTCTAGTTAGAGCAATGAATAGTGTGATATACTATATATAGTATAGTATATATATAATATAATATATATTTATTATTTATAATTTGACCCAGCATTTATTTATAAAATTGAATTAAATTTGCTTTTCAACATTTGATTTAATTTTAAATTGAATCAGAAATCTTTTTTAATATTTTTTGATTTTTATATATATAGAACTTTCAATTGAACCACACAACAGATTATATTCTTTATCAAAGACAAACTTAAATTAAAATTTTTGAAAATCAAATCAAATGTAAAATTCAACCCAGCGAATCCATTCAATTTGGTCAATTTTTATCATTTTTATCAGTATCGCCCTCAATTTCTAGGCCTTCATATATAATTGACCACATTATTTATAAAATTGAATTAAATTTGCTTTTCACATTGATTTAATTTTTAAATTGAATCAGAATCTTTTTTAATATTTTTTATTTTTATATTATAAGAACTTAATTGAACCAAAACAGATTTAATTTTTTATCAAAACAAAAACTAAATTAAAATTTTTGAAAATCAAATCAAATTAAATTCAACCCACGAATTCCATTCAATTTGGTCAATTTTATATTTTTATCATAGTATGCTCAATTCTAGCCTTCCCATTCTTCCTCCTACAAATGGAAAATTTTAGTTGGATACTTGGACTTGGTTATAAAATCATATGAACAAAGGAAAAAAAATCTTTGGGCTTGATCCATCCCTTGAAGGCCTAGGCTTGCATTGTAATGCTATTAACTCTGGCCCAATCCAACAACAAGCTATTGAAGAAATGCTAAATTCCTAATTAATGCTTGAATATATGGGCAGTACTAGAATTTCGATGAAGCCCAATCATGATGGGCTGGGCCTTGAATTCTTTTGCGTCTCGTCTGCTCTAGAGTCTGTCTTGATATGTAATTATGTATTGTACAACACAAACAAATAAAATATCAAGAGAGTATATATTTTGATTATGAATAATGATGTTCCTGCTACACATGGATATACAACTTCCCTGCAGACAGGTGGTGTTAGATATGGGACCCCAACATTCCCTTTCTATTAGCTACCTGAAGAGACATATCTCTTTATTTGCAATCCTTTTTTTTTTTTTTTTTTAAAAGGCTAACTATGGATATTTGAAGTTTATGAATTTAGGTAATTAAATATTAAGTAATTTAATTTATTTACTAAAAGTTTGATATTAAAAAAAAAAAAAATTCTATAGAATAACTAAAATCTACCCGGCATTCACAGTATTGGTTAACTGTAAGTACATATAAGACTCACAGAGTATGTATTTGACTCAGCTTGACTTTTGTTTTACTGTCCTAAATGCAAATTCAGACATGCTACCTAAAAATTGAATACTAATGTGATTTAATTTATAACATATGTTGATGTCTTGAGATATTGAATTAATGTTCTGAGAGTTGATTCTCATATAAATATTTTTTGAGTACGAAGTGTACATAGACATTTAATGATGGAAAAAGATGGATACATATAGTTGGAAATTTATACACAACGACAATTTGGTAGTTAGAAAATTAATTAACATGCACAATCCAACGCTGCTAGACCGGGTCCATAATCCAATTATAGATAAATGAGAATAATATTTTTTTAAAAATCCTTCCTGTTTTATTTTTTTTTTCAAGTACATGTGTATGGTTAGCTACACTCATTTCAATAAAAAAAATTTTATTTTTATTGATTTGATGTACGGATGAGATTATAAACTCAGTCTAGATTAATAAATGCCATATAATACGCGTGAATAGATCTACGCGTCAAATCAATTAAAAATGGTTTTTTTTTAAATGTTACTGTTTTATTTTTTTTTCTAGGAATATTTTCATTTATTTTTTTTTTTAAAGTATTGAGGGAAGGGGAAGAGGTTTTAAATCTAGATCTATTGTCAGATCGTATATACATTTATCATCATGTTATGCTTTTTTTGCAATACTCTTATTTAATTTAAATCACTATTTATAATCGATTTGGTGTATCGATGAAGCTCATTCACTTATACATGATTTGAAAACGTTACTTCTTTTTCATGAAAAAGAAATTTCACTTCTTTTTTTATGAAAAATTATGTTTTTTTTTTAAGAAAATGCCTTAAATGTCGAGACTAACATGAAAGAAATATTTTTCTAAAAATAAATAATAGGAACATAGGGTAAAAGATCAATAATAATTATTAAATATTAATTCCCAACAAGGATAATATTCTAAAGAAAAGAAAAATGAACTTTTATAAGAGGCGAATGATAGGGTTGGCCCTCCATTTATATGTATCATTGAATAATAATAATTTAAAAGAAAAAGGCAATTATGAAATTATAATTAAGATAGGGCTAATAATATTTGCTTTGATTTTTCTGACAAAGTGGGTGAATATACCCTTCTGGTTTGTGAAAAGTAACTCTTCTTTCATAACTACATATAACTATAATGGACAAAAATTAATAAACATTTGCCAGACAGGATAGTTATTGATAAGCAATTATTTTGCTGAGGTTATCTCTATATACACATAGTTGCAGGCTGCCATTTCTTTGAAAATGTTAGAAATATTTATAAATTTTTTAATTTAAATAATTATTACCGCTCATAAGACCTGACATTTCAATTTGATAATGCATATGGTATCTTATTTTCAAGAATAACCATGTTGATATCTCGATAAATATATGGAATTTTTGTATATATACATTAAGGGTCTTTTCGGGTAAAATTAGCTATTTTAATAGCGTTTAGCAGTTAGTTATTTTTAATAACTTTTCATAAAAATGCTAAAAGTTAAACGTTAATAGCTTTTTATAAAATGTTAAAAGTTAAACGTTATATGAATTAATTTTTTATAAAATATTATTTTAATTTTTAAAAATTAATTAAAACACTATAATAAAATAATATTTATTAAAAACTATTTAAAAATCTGTTGAGGTACTATGCGTCAATTTCACAAAAGTTTGGCAAGGAAATGACAGAAAGCCAGCTAGTAGTTGAGTCCAAAATCCAGTCTATACAATATACAAGTCTTGTATGACTCGACAGAGTCATTTTGCAATTAGAAAATGACATTGTCATATTCATTGGGATGTGAAAGCCATGTCCCCCCACTATTATATTTGGCACTTTCAACCCATGAAAGTGATATTTGCATACATAAATATTATAGTCACATGCCCCTGTACTATTAATTAATTCCCTCTCTTTTTATGTATATATATGTGTTTATCAATCTCTTGTGCTTCCATCCTCTTTAGGTGAAGCCATCACTAGCTGTTTTGTGTTACATTGTTCTAGCTAGTGCTTTGTGTGTGTCTTCTTCAGATTAATAATAGCACCTTCTTGTCACTGTCAATTACAACCTCCAACGATTTTGTTTGTCGCAATTGATAGTTGATCTGCATTCAATAACGAGTCAGTTTTTTCTTATCAAAATTGAATGATTTCACCCTAGATTTCAAACATTTGACTTTATAAATAAAATTGTCTTTGATATACAGTCTACTAATACTTATATCATTAGAACAAAATAAGCCTAGTGGGCAATGTATTTAACTTGTGGAATGAGCAAAGAAGAGCGCTTATTTATTTAATTTCTTTTTTTCAAAAATTAGACATGTAGTTACAAGCTTTGGATAGCTAGAAGCTATGATATAAAGCAAAACGGCCAAATGTTTAATTTATCATTAAAATTTACGCAATTTACCTTACGACACTCTTAAGTTTACAGAAGATCTATAATGTAAAATTATTTCATTTTCATAAGAAATATATAATTATTATTGAAATATAAATATATTTTTCGTAAACTTAAGAGTGACATGGAGTAAAGCGTGTAAATCTCGAAGGCAAATTTACGCATCAAGCCAAAGCAAAACACAATTTCCTCTATTACCATGCAATGCAAGAGCAAGAGGAGGGAAGAGTTTATCATTATTGAATGTTGTTGGGCCAGGGCATGTAGAGAATTGTCAAAATCTAGGCTAAATTACTAAAATCATCGTTACCCCACGTGCATGGCCATGTGTCCCAAAGGTCCAACCCCTGTCTACCCCACTTCTTTTTTGCCACGTGGATGGATTGTGTTATACAAAACAGATAATTATATTTGGTTGGCTTATATTTAGATTTTGCTCTTTTCAGGTCTTGTACATGTCATTTGTACCCTCTCCTTCTTGCTTTTACTATTAACTGAAGTTTCCTTATAAAAGCCAAAGCAGATGGAACTATTAATTATTACTGATTAATCTAGTATTTTTCTATAATTATAAATTCAAACTAAATTTGTACATTGATGATTAACAAGACTATCTGATTAAGTAGGTGACAACCACTCAAAATTTTTATTTTTCTGAAATTAAATGCAAAGAACATTGACTTGACATTAAAGAATAGTCCTCTATTTTTTCCAATGTAAATGTCATCCAAACTTTGAATTAAATGATCAAAAAGCTCAATTTTTACTAAAAAATAAAATAAGACAATATTTTTTAATACTTGTAACTAATAAATATTTTTTAGATGTTTTATTTTTAAATCAAATGGTTTTTATTAATTAAAAATATTAAAAATTATTGCTTTATTTGATTTTTGGTAAGAATTATGTTTTTATTCAT